AAAAAAATATTACCTTACTCACCTTGTCATTCTAATATCCTGGGACCGACAAGCTTGCAACAATACAGCATGACCATAGTTTAGACATTGAGAATGTAAAGTGCCTGCCCTAACAGATGAGTGATCCATGGTTATTTGTCCTGGTGGAGCAAACTAGTACCCTAATCCTGCAACTGGGTTCGCCCAGGTAAAGGCAGTTACAGGTTTGGGGCATAAGGCCAACTCTGTGATCTTTGAAGGCAGAAGGGTGAGCTTTCCAACAGCCTGCCGTAGATCACAGCCACCGACATCAAACTACCTAAATTAGGCTTGCAATTAAAGTTGAAATCTTCAAAACTTCCAATTTACGAACAGACTACAAGCAGCAGCAACAGTGGTAACCAGTCTAGAAAGGGTTTTGAAAGTGTTGCTTTCTAAACAATTTGTAAAAGTCTATCTTCTCTCCCACTTAACAATTTTGTTTGCAAATTTTCAAAATAAAATTATGTACACAATACAGGAGCCCTGTTCTATTTTAACAGACTGTTTTATTCAAAGAAAGTGATTTCACAGGTTACATCTCTTCCAGTTCTATTCCCACCCTATTAATTTCTTAGAAGAAAGTTATTAAACACAGATTAATGGAAGGGGAAGAAGAGTCCCACCCCTAATCACTTCATATCAGACATGTGATTCAAGTACAAAGCAGATTTCCATTAGTTATACTGTACATGAATAGTTCCTTTGGCCATCCCATTACCCAATTTGGTATTTATATTCTCCCAAGTATTTCAGAAAGACAATGATATGTAGGTATTCTATAACGCAACAGTTTCTTAAAACTCTTCGAGCAATGCAGGTTTGCTTCCCTTTACTCTTTTAATTCATTCAATACATCAGTTCTGAAAAACAATGACTGGCCTTTCAGAAAACCGAGGGAACCGTGCAACATGTCTGCTGGTGGTGAAAGAAGAGACATGTACTGTTTGGGCACGGGGTGGAGGACCAAGAAAACAGGAATTGAAATAGGGTGGGGAACTGCCCATATGCAGAGCTTCTTGGAGTCTGAGGAGGGGAATGGGGGTTGCTGGTGTTTGTTGGAAGTGATGAGGGGTGGGGCAGAGAGCCGCATGGGCCCTGAAGGAGAGGGGGAGGCTGGCAAAGGATCATCTGGGTTACAAGGCCTGGGCATCAGGTGTCTGGAGAAGTTGTCTGGTCTCTGGGAAGGCAGATAAGGTGTGGAGGGAGTGGTCTGGGGCTAGGGTGTATGGTTGGGCTAAGGGGACCACCTCTGTTAGATGAAAATAACAGACGCTTTATTTTAAAGGACATTTTAGGGAAACACCACTTCCCTTAGCCTACCTAGTATTTTTTCTCCCAAGTGTACTTTTCTACTTCTCTCATGTACACGATTCAATTATCATAAAATTCAATTTAATGTTTAAAATGGGAAGTCAAGGGACTTTATTTCAAGTAAGGGACAGCTAGTCACCCTAGTCTGGGCCCTGGGAAGGGGGGGCTAAGGGGTGCTTGGGGGCCCAGTGAAGGGGGCTGTCAGGGCTAGCGGAGGGGACTGAAGGGGGGTGTCGAGGGAGCTGTCAAGGCCCTGGGGAGCGGTGAGTTGAGAGGAGTTGCCAAGGCCGTGGGATGTAGGAGGGGCTGAGAAGGTAGCGGTGGGGGTCGCCGGGGAAGGGGGAGGAAGCTGAGGAGGTAGTGGTGGGGGCCGTCGGGTCCCCGGGGAGGGGGGCTGAATGGGGCTGTCGGAACCTGGGGGGGGGGGGGGGGGCGGGGGGGGGGGGGGGGGGAGCGGTGGGGGCTGTCGAGGCGGAGGGGGGAGTGTCCACGAGCGGTGCCAGCCCCTTACCCCATGCTTAGCCTGCAGCTCAGTCAGCCGCTGCTTGCGGAGCGCCTCCAGCTCCTCGTCCGCCATGGCTCGGGGTGACGAGGGGGGCGGGACAACGCGAGATAACCGGCGGGGCCGCTCACCGCACAGTGCGCATGCGCCCCGGTCCCAGCCCCCGCCAATCCATTGCCGAGAGCCCTGTCAGGCTGTCAGCCGAGAGCCGGTGGGACGAGGGAATTGGGCGGGGAATGGGCGCTGAGGGGAGGCGCGGGCAGGACCTGGCGGAGCGAGATGTTGGGGTGTGAGCGGGTAGGACCAGCTTCCTACAGCCCCCATGTCGGGCTGCTGGCCGGGGACTCCGCCTCCGGGGAATCTCACATCTCGGACCGTCGTCACGGCCATGGGCGCCGCGGGGCCCAGGTGCGCGTTACCGGGCCTGCCCCACCCGCCTCCTGCCCTGCTTGCGGCCTCCCCTTCAAACTTCTCCCCAGCACGGCTCTGCCCCTCGCCTAGCGGCTTCCTGGCCCTACCCCCGCTCTCCCTCCCAGCCACGCTGGCTGGCAGCGGCAAAGGGCAGCGCTCTGTGCCGGTTGGGGACACCCTCTGCACGGCGTGATCTTCCCCGGGCCCGACGAGCTGGTTGCGTTGCTGGATTCCACCAGGGGAATGGTGCATAGTGGCTGCGCCGTGTCGGCGGAGCTGGCCCTCTCAATGCCACAGTGGTGCAGATTGCACTGGCTGGCTCCTTGCACCCGTTTTTCCGACTGATATACAGCCAGTATGTGATTTGCTATATCCAGCGAATTTGGGTATGTCTGTATTAGAGAAATCGTTGTCTGTAGTGTCCCTGAGCTGACTGAAATGCACCTTGCAGCCGCTTGCAGAAGGGCTTTGGTGGATTCATAGGGAGACCCTAAGTGGATGAAGTTACCGCTATAATTTATAGGAGAAAGCCTCAAAGTCACAATTAGTCTCCATCCTCAGACCTGTCAGCTGTGACAGCTGGTAGCTCGCTCAGCTGATTAACTTCCTTATTTTGATGGCTGAGTCACCCCTCTGTCCCACCAGTATTGCCCCCCTTTAGAGTCCCTTACCACTTCAGAAATGCTCTCCCCGAGCCTCACTTCCAGAACTGTGGATCACTGGCTGACACTGCATGCTCCCACAGGACATGATTCACCTCACATACACACACACAGCCCCCATTATGCCCACTCTGGCCATGGAACTCCACTTCCATCTTTGGACTGCTGTGGATACTGTATCTCAGCACCCAGTGGAGGGTAGGAAGAACTCAGCTGGTAGCTTTGCTCCTAACAGCCCCTCAGCTACTAGCTGCTTCTCTCCCTCCAGACCTAATAAGCCATGGAAAGCTGATAAATATACCAGCCCTCACCTGAGCTGGTGTAAGGTAGCACTTATACCAATTCAGAGTGGCTATTATGGACACACTCCACCTGGTGGTGTTGTAATCAGTGCTACACAAAACACAAGTGATGATGCCTTACTGATAGAGATCTCTAATTTGGCAAGAGCACTGTCTACACTGCCACTTTACAGCACTGAAACTTGCAGCGCTTGGGGTGTTTTTTCACACTCCTGAGTGAGAAAGTTGCAGCACTGTAAAGTGCCAGTGTAGACAAGCCATAATTTGGGAGTTACCAGGGTCCAAATGCAGACCACATTTGGCACTAGATGTTATTCCATCTGAGATACCAGTTATCAAACAGGCAGCTCTTCAGGGACTGAAAGTGCTACAAGTTTTAAAGATTACTATTTCTATAGAAATTCAGGGGGTAATAATAAACAAAAATCAGTTATAAAAGCCATCAAATTACTTGCTTTTTGGTGCTTTGAACTAAAAATTCCTGCAGTGGGTGGGAAAGCAATTAGTGGAGATTTTTTTGTTTGTTCCATTTCTTTGTAATTGTTACAGCAGGAGGGGCAATTCAGTAGCTTATTATGACTAGCTGTAAAGGAGGAGAGAGGGAAAGGGAGAAAAAGCTTTGATTTTTCCTTTAGTGGAGCTGGAGTCACTCATTCACATTTCTAACCTGCACAAGACCTGAAGTCCTGTGTCTATCCTCAGAGTCAGCTCAGTATGTACTGTTGATTTCCTATTGGGCCTGCTCTCGCTTCTTTGAATTTAAAACAAAAGTGTTATCAGGAGGGCACATTTCTGCTGATGATTTTGGGGAAGCTTTATTATCATTATGCTAACAGCAGAGGGAGCCCTAGCTCTACCAAAGCTCCTTTGTTGATCATTAAAATACAAAGCAACAAACACAATAATTGTTGTTTTTTTGCTGTGCAGTATGTCCTCGCAGATGAAGCTTTAATCTATATCGTACATCTCTGTTGCTGTAAATTCATGCTCCATTATACCACCATATGCTTTGATTCACTCAGAGGAAGCTGCGGCAATCCTAACATTTTGTTTTGGCTTCATAGCTGTTTATACTGCATGTTTGATTGCATATTATTTTCTCACACACTTAAAGGTTATGTCTTAATAAGTTGTTTTAAACAAGTTTATTAGCAATGAGCCTGCAGTTGATGAGTTTTTATGTCATGAGAAGGTATCATTGCAATTACTGACAATTACACTATGAGTTTCGAGAGACAGAAGGAGAGTTTAGCCCATTAAAAAGAATCTGGAGGCATGAAGCACAGTGTTTTGGTTTTTATCTGGTTGTCTAGTCAGCTGTCTATTTGCTTTTTTGTGTATTTTTAGGTAATACATATTGATGCTTCTTTGATGCAAGCTGGACTGTTTCATAGCTGAAAGCATGAAGGTACAGAAGCAGGTTTTTCAGAATGATTCACAGATTGATTGAGCTTCTCCATGATATCTGAATATTTTAGTGGGGGATTTAAATTATTATTAAGTAAAATTAGTTCTTTAATCTTTTTACACACAGTAATAGGTCCACAGAGTCTTAAGTACCATTTTTGTAAATGAACAAAGGTGCACTATTCCTGCTTTTCAAACTGCTCAAAGGTCTGGTTCTAAATCTTTCAGTACATTTTATGATTAACTATGTTTCTCCTACAAATGGTCACTAATATATCCAGCCTAAATTTTCAAAAGTAACTAATGATTTTGAATGCCTCCGTTTTTGTGTGTTCAACCTGAGGGATCTTAAAAAGCCCTGTTTTTAGAGGCTGGGTGCTCTGCTCTTTCTGGAAATCAGGCCCCTTGAAGATGGTTCAAGTGGAGCACCCCAAAATTGAGTGACTTTTTTAAACATTTAGGCCTAATTGCTTGTGAACAGAGGAATCAAAAGGAAGAATATGGAATGTGTCATAGTTGTCACAGAAATGAAACAACATTTTGTGTATGCTGCTTGCTAGACTAAACATAAAATCAGATTTCACACTCAGGTACATAGGTACAACTGTAAGTGAAGTCAGTGGGAGTTGCACCTCTGTAACTCTGGATGTAATTTGATTCACAAAGAGCATGCATGTGTAACACTGACAGACCCTGGTGGTTGTGTGCCAGGATCAAACCTGGGATCTCTGGAGCTTAATGCATGAGCCTCTACTGCATGAGCTAAAAGAAACATTTCCCTTAGCCAAGGCTGCAGCAGACTCTTCAATCTCTAGCTGGTCTAGATGCCACACCAAGCAGGCATGGGTTATATACTTCCCTTAGCTGAGGAAGCGTGTCCCTAGCTTCAGAGACTTCCTAGTTGATATCCTGGACGGGCTCCTATTTTTAACGCCAACAGATCCTGGTTGGCAGCAGCATCAAACCTGGGACCTCAGGAGCTTAATGCATGAGCTTCTACTACATGAGCTAAAAGACTCATCTTTCTGAGGCCTGGTCTACACTAGGAGGGGGGATCGATCTAAGTTATGGAACTTCAGCTACGTGAATAACGTAGCTGAAGTCAACATACTTAGATCTACTTACTGCGATGTCTTTGCGGTAAGTTGACTGCTGACGCTCCCCCCTCGACTCCGCCTATGCTTCTTGTTCCAGTGGAGTACCGGAGTCGACGGGAGAGCGCTCGGCAGTCGATTTATCGCGTCTTCACTAGACGCGATAAATCAACCCCCGCTGGATCGATCACTCCAGAGATAAGTGTAGACATGCCTTAGTCAAGGCTGTAGCAGACTCTTCAATCTATAAACTAGCTGATGTAGGTGCTAGTAGAATGTGACAGAGTGCCACACCCAACAGGCGTGGGTTACACATGCTATAAATGTAACGAACCATTTGTGACTATTATTTGAGTTAGTAGAAACAAATCTAATTTGGTAACTACCTACAGTATTTTTATACCATCCTTAAGAAGATTCCTAAGGACCTTCAACATTTAAGAGTATCAGGTGTCTATAAACTTTGTATGGAACATCTTAAACATATTGGGCATGATTCACCAGTGCTTTAATCCACTTTCACATCAGTATTTCCATCAGTGGTTATGCTGATGTAAAACTGGAGTAACACAGTGGTGAATCCAACCCAATATCACTTACACTGTGCCTCATTCAATAACATGGGCCTGATTGTGAGCTCATGGTTTTAGAGTGGTGTAACTAAATTCACTTAAATGGAATTATTCCTGATTTACATCACTGTGAGATCAGACTCCATTTGTTTAACATGTCTTAGCATGTAAGGTAACTTTCACTATATGCCAAATAGCTTTTGCACTAGCACCCATTATTTATGCTTGATGCAAAGACTGCTGAGGTTTATAAGCAAGTAAATATTCTAGGAATTTGACCAACCTGCAAAGGACAGAGAGTGGAGGAGTCAAGCGCTAGAGTGAAAACAGTGAATGCGATGTCTTGAATGGCGTGGGATCCTTTGGTCAGACTGGATCTAGAAAGCTGTGATATTCTCCCCTTTCATCCCACATCCTAGTTATTATCAGTTATTTACACTTTTCTTAAAGAAACCAAGACACTGAAGGGTTAAAGATTTTATTCTAATATATATCTCTTTTTGTTATACCACACTGTCAAATATTTCATATTGCTGATGTTTATATATTATTTAGGCTTAATCTATTTGAAAATTTCTAGGTACTGTTGAACATGTGAGGAACTCTGATGTTCTAAGAAACTTGGCAGTTGCCCCAGAGAAGCCTGAAATTCCT